TCTAATCTACTTTCTGTCTTTATTGATTTGTCTATTCTATATATTTTGTGTAAATGGAATTATACAACACGTGGCCTTTGACTTCTTTTACTTAACATAGTATTTTCAAGATTTTTATATGTCCTAACATATATCATTCTTTCTTTCCTTTTTATCATTGGATAATTTATTGTATGAATATACCATATTTGTTTATCCATTCCCTAACTGATGGGCTTTTGGGTTGCCTCCACTTTTTGACTTTTGCAAATAATACTACTATGAATATTTAACTAGAGGTTTTTGTGTGGCTACATTTTAATTCCAAAGTAGCTATACCATTTCACATCCCTAGCAGCAGTATGTGAGGATTCCAGTTGCTCCACATCCTCATTAACATATTATTGTCTGCCATTTTGTTTATAGCCATTTTGATGTGTGTAAAGCATTATCTCTTTGTGGTTTTGATTTACATTCCTGAAATGAATGATGGCTATCTGTATATCATTTTTGGAGACTATCCACTTGAACCCTTTGCCCATTTTTAAATTGAGTTCTCTTTATTTTTTAGTTGTAAGAGTTTTTTAATGCAAGTACTTATCAGACATATGATTTGCAAATATTTTCTCTCATACTTTCGGTTGTTATTTCATTTTATATGAAGCACAAAATTATTTTAAACAAGTGCAGTTTTTTTTGTTTGTTTTGTTGTTATTTGTGTTTTTGGTGTCATGCCTAAAAAGCCATTCCCTAATCCAAAATTATGGAGATTTATGCCTGCATTTTCTTTTAAGAATAGTTTTTGCTATTATAATTAAACGTTTCACTTATTTTAAGTTTATTTTTCTGTATGGCATAGGTAGAGAACTTCATTCTTTTGCACGTGATATCACTTGTCCCAGCAGCATCTGTAGAAAAATTATTCTTTCCCCATTGAATTGTTTTGGCACCGTTATCAAAAATCAATTGAACATAATTATAGATGGTTATTGCTGGACTCTCAGTTTTATTCCATTGAGCTACATGTCTATCCTTAAGATAGTACCACATTATCTTTACACTGTTGTTGTGTTGTAAATGTTAAAATCAAAAGGTCTAAGGAGTTTATTTTTTTCTTCTTTTCAAGATTGTTTTCATTATTTGAGATCCCTCTCATTTTCATACACAATTTAAGATCAGCTATCATTACTGCAGAAAAGGCCACTGAATTTTGAAAGGGATTACATTGAATAAGTAGATCAATTTTGGGAGTACTGTTATCTTAGCAATATTAAGTCTTCTAATCTATGAACATAGAGTGTTTTTCTTTCTTTCTTTTTTTGTCTTTAAATTTCTTTTAATGATATAGTTTTCAGTGTACAAGATTTGCATGTCTTTTGTTAAATTTATTACTAAATAGTTTCTTCTTTTTAATGCTATTTCTTTCATTTTTCAATTGTTCATTTTTGGTATATGAAAACACAGGTGGGGCTGGGCATGGTGGCTTACACCTGTAATCCTAGCCCTCTGAGGGGCTATACCGGGAGAATCCTTTGAACTCAGGAGTTTGACATTAGCTTGAGTAAGAGCATGACCTCATCTTTACTTAAAAAAAAAAAAAAAAAAGAGAGAGAGGGCTCGGTGCTCATAGCTCAGTGGTTAGGGCATCAGCCACATACACCAGAGCTGGCAGGTTCAACCCTGCCTGGGGCTGCTAAACAACAATGACAACAACAACAACAACAACACAATTGCAGGGCGTTGTGGCAGGCACTTGTGGTCCCAGCTACCTGGGAGTCTGAGACAAGAGCATCACTTAAGCCCAAGAGTTTGAGGTTGCTGTGAGCTGTGATGCCATAGCACTCAACCAAGGGGGACATAGTGAGACTCTGTCTCAAAAAAAAGAGAGAGAGAGAGAGAGGGAAAGAAAATTAGCTGGGTTTTGGGGTGGGTACCTGTAGTCCCAGATACTCAGGAGGCTGAGATAGGAGGATCACTTGAAGAGGTTGCTATGAGCTAGGCTGACGCCAGGGCACTCTAGCCTAGGCAACAGAGTGGGACTCTATTTCAAAAAAGCCCAACACAATTGATTTTTATATATGTATATTGTATCCTGTAACCTTGTTGAACTTTTTATTAGCTCTAATAATTTTGTATACAGATTCCTTAGAATTTTCTATATGTAAGAGCATGTCATATGTGAATACAGATAGTTTAATGTATTCTTTTCCAGTCTGAAAGCTCTTTTTTTTCCCTTCTCTTCTCTTCCCTCCCCTCCCCTTCCCTCCCCTTCTCTTCCCTTCCCTTCCCATTTTCTTTCTCTTCTTTCTTTTTTTTCTTGGATAATTGTTTTAGCTAGAACCTCAAATACAATTTTGAAAAGAAATAGTGAGAAGGTCAGGTGCAGTGGTTTATGCCTATAATCCCAACACTTTCGGAAGCTGAGCAGGAAGATCACTTGAGGCCAAAACTACAAATCCAGCCTAAGCAACATAGTGAGACCCTGTCTCTAAAATAAAAAAAAATAATTAGCCAGGTGTTTTTGGTATGCACCTGTTGTCCTAGCTACTTGGGAGGCTAAGGCAAGAAGGGTATTGCTTGAGCTCAGGAATTAGAAGTTGCAGTAAATAGTGCCATTGCAGTCTAGGGTGGGCAACAGAGAAGGATCCTGTCCAAAAAAAAAAAAAGAAAAAAAGGAAAGAAAAGAAAAAGAAAAAGAAAAGGAAGGGAGGGAGGGAGGGAAGATGAGTCATTTTTGACTTTTTCTTTATCTTCAGGGAAAAGCTTTCATTCCTTCACCATTAGATATGATGTTAGCTGTGGGTTTTTTCGTAGATATCCCATACCTATAAATATGTCAATTAAATCAAGCTTTTACAAAATTTTTATTATTATTTAGATCATTATTACTATTATTTTTTGAGACAGAGTCTCACTCTGTCACCCTCGGTAGTGTGTCATTGTATCATAGCTCACAGCAACCTCCAACTCTTGGGTTTAAGTGATTCTCTTGCCCCAACCTCCTGAGTAACTGGGACCACAGGCACCCGCCACAACACCTAGCTATTTTTGTTGCAGTCAGGCTGGGGCTGGGTTTGAACCTGCCACTCTAGGTATATGGGGCCAGCACCCTACCCACTGAGCCACAGGCCCTGCCTGATTTTTTTTTTTATTGTTGGGGATTCATTGAGGGTACAAAGAGGCATGTTACATTGATTGCATATGTTAGGTACATGGAAGCATTTTAATTGTACTTATCAAAACTTCTATATCTTTAGTTATTTGAATTTGTTGGCTCTATGCATGGAGAGAGGTATGCTGAAATCTGCAACTGTTGTTTTTGGAATATCCATTATTTTTTGTTGCTCTGTCTGTGTTTGCTTTCTATATTTTGGAGCTATATTATTAGGTGCATGTCCATTTGGATTGTTGTATCTTATCAAATTGACCTTTCCAATTTTGAACTGCTCGTCTTTGTCTCTTGTGATATTTCAGTATAAATTTTGTCATCCTTTTTCTTTGAAACATTTGATCCACTCCTATTTTAGGTATGTCTTTTATAATCAGAAAAGAGTTTTAGTGTTTACATGTGATTTTTAAACTTAGTTTGACAATCTTAGTCTTTTATTTCAAGTATTTTGTCTAATTTTGTTTAACTTAACTAGGTGATATATTTGTTTAAATATATTATTTCCTACTTTTTCCTCATTTTTTCTTAATCTTGACATTTTTCCCTTTTTCCTTGAATTAATCAAGTGTTATTTACATTAACTTGAGTGGACATAAAGTTCTTGTGCAATTTAAAATAGTTTATCATAGTAAAGTGCACATGAACTTTATGTCCACCCTGTATTTCATTTTTACTATTTTGCATTACCTTATTATTATTAGATTACAAGTATGTATTTGGATTTTCTTTTTATTAGAGATGGATTCTTGCTCTGTCACAAGCTGAAATGTACTGGCATGATAATAGTTCACTATAGCCTCCAACACTTGGTGTCAAATAATCCTCCTACCTCAAGCTTCCAAGTAGCTGGGACTATAGGCATGCACCACTACACCTGGATAATTTTAAAAAACTTTTTTTTGTAGAGATGAGGTTTTGCCTTATTGACCTCAAGCAATCCTCCTGCTTTGGCCTCCCAAAGTGCTAGGATTACAGACATAAGTCACCATGCCCACCCATCCTTTACTCATTTAAGTATAACTTAAATTAGATCTTTTTACACTTTCTGAGCAATGCAAGAGTCTTAAAGTGTTTTTAACTCCGTTTATCCCCATTCTTCTTTTGGCCTATTGTTGTTATGAATTTTAATTCCATATATATTTTAAACTTCATAGATAGTATTATTGTTTTGAACAATTTATATACATATTTATCCTATCTGGGGGCACTATAAGTCTTCTTGCATTACCATAATGCCAAGTCAGATAATTTTCCTTCTTTCTTCTTCCTATAGTGTTTCTTTAAAAAATTCAATCAGATTCTCTTTGTTTTCTAAAGAATGTCTTTATTTTCTCTTTATTTTTGAAGGATACTCTCACTGTTTATAAAATTCAAAGCTGGCAGTTTTATTTTAGCACATCAAATGTATAATTCTGCTATTTTTCTGGGTTCTAAATGTATCTGTTGAGAATTTAGTTGGTAATATGTAATTTTTTCCTGTATCCTGTAAAATTGTTTCTTTGTACTTTGTTGTTATCATTTTGATGATTGTATTCCTATGTCTAATTTTCTTTGTAATTACACAGTTTGAGTTCATAGAGCTTCCTTTTTTTCTTTCAGAATATTACAGGTGCATAAATATTTTGGTTACATGAATTGTTTTTATACAAATTGAGTCAAAGTTATAAGTGTGCCTATCACCCAGATAGCATGTATTATACCTCTTAGGTGTGAATTTATCTGTCCCTCTCCCTCCCACCTGCTTGGCTTCCATTTAGTTTTACTTCCATGTGTGCCCATGAGTGTGGAATGATTAGTTTCACTTTAATAATGGATACATGTTGCGTTTAGTTTTTCTGTTTTTTGAAGTTCATGTTTGACAGGTAATATGCTGACATTGTAACAAGCTTTGAAGAAGGCCTATCTCACCCATGCATGTGAACACCTTATAATTACTCATATGTATTACAAAACAATCTGGTATTTGCTTTTTCATTGTTGATAATATAGTTTGAGAAACTTATTAGCTTGCATCTCTTGAGATTTTACTTCTACCTCATTATTTCATTCTAATCTTGCCAGAAATATGAATTATATATATGATCGACTATTTTCCATTTTCTATCTTTTAAAATCTTTTCTCATTTCTTGTATTGTCTCTCTGTATTTGAATGTGCATATTTTCCACCAACCACCTTGCAGGTTACTATTCCATTCTTTTCTTGTGCTAATTTGCTGTCAGTTATATTCAGTCAGTTTTTAATTGCATGTTATTATATTTTCCACACTAGAATTTCCATCTAATTTTTTTTTTGTAACAAGTGACTTTTACTGTATTTATTAACTTCCATCCTAGGAGTTCCTCCCTGCCTCATTTTTTTTTTATTAAATCATAGCTGTGTACATTAATGAAGTAATGGGGTACAATGTGCTGGTTTTATATACAATTTGAAATATTTTCATCAAACTGGTTAACATAGCCTTCACAGCATTTTCTTAGTTATTGTGTTAAGACATTTATATTCTACATTTAGTAAGTTTCGCATGTACCCTTGTAAGATGCACTGTAGGTATGGTCCCATCAATTACCCTCCCTCCACCTGCCTCCTCATATTTTAACAGTGAACAATTGTGCTTAGCAATGTAAACATATGAACTGACAGCTAAGTGTAGGGGATAAGATCCTTTTGCTCAAGACATGGCAGTTCGCCTCAATGTGCCCTCTCCGGTTAACTGCTTCCGATAAGCGCATTCCTTGTGGATCTGAGCATCTGCACTTGCTATTGATGTGCAAGAATGTAGAGTGACTCTCCCTAGGGGGCGTGGAGAAGTAACCGAGATGAGCTGGAGGCTGGAAAGACCAGTTTTGAAGCATTGGGTTCTATTCCCTGCCTCCCTCCTTCAATTAACATTATAATGTGTTACCTTACCTTGGGCAAGCAAGGACCGACAGCCAGGCTCCAAAATGTTTTACTCTAAACAAAATCAATTGTATATGCCTTCCTCAACCTTCACACTAAATTGTAATCTCAAATGGTTGCTTCCTCACGATACTTGACTTCTTTGTAAATGTGTTAAATTCTTACTAAATGTTGGAAAGTATATAAGATACTGAGTAAAGTTTATCAGGGCCGCCGACCAGAGCGAGTCCCGGTCTCCCTTAAAGATTCATTCCGTTTGCAGTTCTTTCCCCTGCGTCATTGAACAGAAGTTCCGAGGAACAAAAACACCATCTACAGCTAAGATAATAGTTTAAGTTGGTAATTTTTACTTGGAAAGATATGGTGGGTTTAATATAACCCTTTGCCTCACATATTTGTGGGGTTTTTTTGTTTTGATTTTTATTGTTGGGGAATCATTGAGGGTACAAAGAACCAGTTTATACTGCTTGCATTTGTTAGGTAAGGTACCTCTTATAATTGTGTCCCAACCCAAAGAGGTGTGTCACATACTGTGGCCCTCTACCCTCCCTTCCCTCCCTCCCCTCCCCCATTTCTCCACCCCTACCATGTACTAGCATTAATTGTCCTCATATCAGAATTGAGTATTTTCGATTTGTGCTTCTCCATTCTTGTGATGCTTTACTAAGAAGAATGTGTTTCAATTTCATACAGGTTAATACAAAAGATGTCAAGTCATCAACTTTTTTTAGTAGCTGAATAGTATTCCATGTTATATATATCACAGCTTGTTAAAGTGGTCCTGGATTGGTGAGCTTTTAGGCTGTTTCCACAGTTTGGCAATTGTAAATTGAGCTGCAATAAACAGTCTGGTGCAAATGTCCTTATGATAAAACAACTTTTTTATTTCTTCTGGGTAGATGCCCAGTAATGGGATTGTAGGATCAAATGGGAGGTCTAGTTTGAGTTCTTTGAGGATTCTCCATACTTTCTTCCAAAAGGTTGTATTAGTTTCCAGTCCCACCAGTAGTGTAAAAGTGTTCCCCTCTCTCCACATCCATGCCAACTTTGCAGTTTTGAGACTTTGTGATGTGGCCATTCTCACTGGGATTGGGTGATATCTCAGGGTGGTTTTGATTTGCATTTCTCTGATAATTAGGGATGATGAGCATTTTTTCATATGTTTGTTAGCCATTTGTCTATCTTCTTTAGAGAAAGTTCTATTCATCTCACTTGCCCATTGGTGTAAGAGATTTTTGGCTCTTTTTTTGTTGCTTAATTTGAGTTCTCTGTAGATGCTAATTATCAAGCTTTAGTCTGATTCATAATATGCAAATATCTTTTCCAATTCTGATGGTTGTCTCTTTGCTTTGGTTGTTGTTTCCTTAGCTGTACAGAATCTATTCAGTTTAATTAAGTCCCATTTGGGCTAAGCGCCTGTAGCTCAGCACTTGGGCACCACCCACATACACTGGAGCTGGTGGGTTCAAATCCAGCCCAGGCCTGCCAAACAATGACGACTACAACCAAATAATAGCCAGGTGTTGTGGTTGGTGCCTGTAGTCCCAGCTACTTGGGAGGCTGAGGCAAGAGAATTGCTTAAGCCCAAGAGTTTGAGGTTGCTGTGAGCTGTGATGTCACAGCACTCTACCCAGGATGACAGCTTGAGACTCTGTCTCAAAAAAAAAAATTAAGTCCCATTTGTTTATTTTTGTTGTGTTGCAATTGCCACTGGAGTCCTCTTCATAAAGTCTTTCCCCAGGCGGATACTTTTAAGTGTTTTTCCAACACTTTCTTGAAGGATTTTTGTTGATTCATGCCTTAGATTTAGATCTTTTATCCATCTTGAATCAATTTTATTGAGTGAAGAAAGGGGCAGGTCCAGTTTCACTCTTTTACATGTGGTTATTCAGTTTTCCCAGCACCATTTATTGAATAGAAATTCTTTCCCCAAGTGTATATTCTTGTTTGTTTTATCAAAGATCATGTAGCTGTAGGGTATTAGTTTCATTTCATGGATTTCTATTTGGTTTCAGATGTCTATGTCTCATTTTTGTGACAATAACATGACTTTTTTGATCACTATGGCCTTGTAGTACAGCCTAAAGTCTGGTAGGGTGATGCCCCCAGCCTTGTTTTCATTACTAAGAATTGCCTTAGCTATACAGGTTTTTTTCTGGTTCCATACAAAATGAAGAATTATTTTTTCCAAATCTTGAAAGTATGATGTTGGTCTTTTAGTGGGGATTGCATTGAATCTGTACATTGCTTTAGGAAGTATAGATATTTTAACAATGTTGATCCTTCACAGCCATGAGCGTGGTATGTTATTCCGTTTCTTAATATTTTCTGCTATTTCTTTTTTAAGGTTTTGTAGTTTTCTTTTTAGAGGTTCTTCACCTCTTTTGTTAGGTATAGTACTAGGTATTACATTTTCTTGAAGCTACTGTGAAGGGAATTGTGTCTTTGATTATGTTCTCATCTTGGCTATTATTGGCATATATACAAAGGCTAATGATTTGTGGACAAAGATTTTATATCCTGAGACATTACTGTAATTTTTGATCACTTCCAAGAGTCTTGGAGTTGAGCCTTTGATGTTCTCTAAGTATAAGATATATCTTTGGCACAGAGGGAGAGTTTAACTTCCTCTGCCCCCATTTGGATGCCCTTTATTACCTTCTCTTGCCTGAGTGTATTGGCTAGAACTTCAGACGGAATCTTTCAGAGAAACAGAAAGGTGGAGGAAGGACAGAGAGAGACTTTAGTTCTGAGGCCTTCCGATTGTAGTTTAAAGAGTTTGGCATGCCAAAGTGCCAAAATTGGGGAGTATTGTTTTCTGAGCCTAGGCAATACAATTCAGCAACACTCTCCAGTTACATTTTTTACTTATTCTCATAGTTGGTTTCAATTGCCATCAGCTCACAATTTCTGTATTTAAATTTTCCAGGAATTTTAGTTGCCCTAGCAGACATCACTAGTTTAAAATTAGTTAGCCCTTTTCAAATTCAAAAAATTATGAATTATGTGGGAGAAAATGTTTTTGAAGTCATGCCTTACTGATATTCTTGTTTTTAATCCAGTCTTCTCTCTTAGGACTTTAGTTTTGTTCATCTTATACCAGGCTGATTTGTAGTTCCTGTATGTATCTTTTAGGGAATAATTTACAAAGTATTTGTTTTATTTCTACACATCTCATCTGTCATATTCCTCTTCAAATACGTATAATAACTCTATCTCTTTTGCTAAACATATAATTCAGTGCCTGATTTTTACTGGCTTAATCTTGGACCTGATACATTAGTGTAGTTCCCAGTTTCTTGTGTTGTTTCTTGACTTTTTTGGTTTTTCTTTTTGTAGAGTGCAAATACCACTCATGCTGAGACTCTTCTGATTTAGACTAAACTCATAGTACACATATTTGGAAACCTATGGCTGCTTGGAGGGCCATCTGGAAACTTAAGAGAGTCCTTGTTACTGCTGCCAAGTCCCTGACTGTTATGAAAACACAACTTCATTGTTTCCAAAGCCCTGGGAGGGGGAGAGCTAATTTCTCTTTCTTCTTTTGCAAAACAGCAGGAACTGTAAATAAGCAATCCGCTAGATAACACAAATAGGTAAACATTGCCTGGATTTGTTATCTAAAGTATTAAAAATTCTTTCTTGTTGTGTTTTTGCTTTACTAACAGCAATTCAAGATTTCTGCTGCTGATAGGTAGCAAACTAAAGGGGAATCACATGGAAGAGAAAAATATTTTTATCTTTAAGAAGAATGGAATAAATCTGTTGACTTTAAATCTCTTTTGAACCTGGAAAAACATTTTATACCAGATAGTTCTCCTATTCTTATAAAATATTTGAAAATATGTTTGTTCTATTGTTATTTGTTATAGGATAACCATTTTTAATTCTTCTATAATTTAAACATTTTCTAATAAATTGGATGTCCTTGCACATATTAAGCATCCAGTGCAAATCCTGAGTTCTCTTCTTTATTTTAGGTGTGATGAGTACTGTATCTAATGGAGTTTTGTTGGAAAACAATATTCTGAAATTGATAAATGTGAAGCAAGTATG